GGCAGGCAGGCAGGCGTTAATGCTGGTGCATATGATCTGTAGGTTTTTCCTGTAGAAAAATATGTGTAATACTACTGCAGGGTGTAAGCAGCAGATTAATTAAGAAGATGAAAATGTAAATGTTGGAGTGCATGTTCAGGGTGCTGTCACATATTTTGGTCCCACAGTGTTAAGTGTAATAGGGGAGGAAGAAAGAAAAATAACAAAAACTATCTTTCCTTTTAATGATGGGAAACAAGATTTGTTTAGTATGACAATGGCAATATAGGATGTCCCTCTGAGCCAGGGCTTTGCAAAGTATGTTCAAAAGAAAGGTGCCAAGTACAAAATCAGATTATGTGTTCCAACTATAGAGGAGGCCCATGGAATCAACTGAATTCACCTAAGTGTTTATTTCCCCAAGTTCTCTTAGTTTCAGTAGGTCTGTTGCGTTTTGTATGCTTTGCCATTGCACGTCCTTGAATCTCTAAACGATGGTTTCCAATAGATAAAATCAAGAGATTGGAATCACATAAAGCCCTGGAGGGAAAGGGAGCCTAGAAGAGAGAAATTTGAAGGGCTCCACTGAAAGCATGAACCATAGAACTCAAGCCTAATTCACTTGGAAGGAAGTTTTATAAGTCTCGGGGCCACCATTGAGAAGACCTCTCTTCTATGTCTACCAACCTTATTTTTCTTATTGATGGGTATACAAGAAGGATTTCTGAAGCTAATCTTAAAGCATGGCTAGGATCGTATGGATGAAGGCCGTCCTTTGGATCAGTGGTCCCCAAACTTGGGCCTCCAGATGTTCTTGGACTTCAGCTCCCAGAAATCCTGGCCAGCAGAGGTGGTGGTGAAGGCTTCTGGGAGTTGTAGTTCAAGAACATCTGGAGGCCCAAGGTTGGGGAACACTGCTTTGGATGAATTAGTCCCAAACTGTTTAAAGCTTTCATCAAAGCATAGATTCTTTGGATTGGGCTTGGAATTGCACTAGAATTGGTGTGAGTAGTGCAATATCAGTGTTCATGCTCCATATTTCTGGCCTTTGCAACATCCAGGGTGGGTACTTATTGCATCCATTTTTGGAATACCTATTACAGCCAACCTTCAAAGGCTGTGTTACGGTCATCCAGCTTGAAGGTGGAACTTGTTTCTGGAAAACGAAAATCAGGTTGGATCGGACTGCAGTAAAGGACTGCAGCGGGCATAACCGCCTTTACTGGTAAGAGGTATTCCTGGTTCAAATGCTACTTGAACCTCTACAGAAAGTGACAAATCCAGGAAGATGCCCAAGCTGCAAACGTTGCCCTTCATTGCAAGCACACCCCCATTTTGTGACAAAAGTGACAAATCCAGGAAGATGCCCAAGCAGCAAACATTGCCCTTGTAAATTATCTTACATCTCCTGCATTGACTCAAAAGGGCACTTACATTGAATTTTTGGCAAGACGCACCTTTACTGAAGTTAGATCCGGGAATTCACTAGTTAAAGCTGCAATCTTGTGCCTATTTACACAGGAACGTTTTTCACTCAAGTCAGTAATTCTCACTTCTGAGTGAACCTGTATAGTTCTGGACGGCATGAGACAAATAAGTATCCCTCTCAAAGTTCTCTAATGGTTAGAGCAGTCGTTTCCAATTCAGTGTCTGCCAGATGTTTGGGAACACAGATCCCATGTCCAGCATGGTGTTTATTGAGAATGATGGGAACTGTAGCCTGAAAGAACTGGAGGGCCCGAGGTGGAGATGGCTGGTATATGCACATACCTGGGGGTGGGTCCCATGGACACCCAATTGGGCCTTGCTTTG